AATAAATTATTTATTTACTTTATTAGATCACAATAAATGTTTTTCTTATGTTTTTTTATTTCAACTATGCACAATACATGCTCATTAGTTTTTGTAATAGATATACAAAATAAATATTTAGAGACTGCATTTAGAAACATAAATCTATTTTATTCATTCACAATGTATAGTATTACACATAATGATATAAATCTGTTGTTTTATACAATAATTGTTTTTTCTTGTCTATTGTTTTTGTACTTACCTAAATAACAACATTAGTTAATTTATTCATTTTATATTTCAATACTTTATATATAAATTTGTATTATAACTGACAAGAAACTAATTATTATTATATATTTTTATTCTGAAGGTACTCGTTATATTGCTCAGGGATGCCTTTGAATATTTTAATTTTAGCACGAATTTGTTTCCATGTTAATTGATTGTAATTCTTCCTGTCTAGTGCCATAGCCTACGTAATTCATTTAATGATAAGGAACATTTTGTCAATACGAAATAAATTGCTGTAGAAAAAACATTACCTTATAATCTTCCCCATACTTATCCATTAAGTAAGTAAGAAAGTGTACTTGATTATTTGGTAACCTAAACATTCTCCTCCTCTGTGCCTTTGCTTCTGTCTCAAGTTCTTGAACTACGTGCAGTTTTACAGGTATCATTTCAACATCTTTGTCTTGTAATTTAGTGTCTGCTGTATTAACTGACCGCGTTATAATATTTTCAATGATTTCGTTCTTTGTATTGGGTATATTCACAACCTCGTTTGCATCATATGCTAGTCCCATCTGCTTTAAATTAGTCCGTGTGGACTGCGTCACCTCCCATGATTTCTTTATTTGAGAACTACGGAATAGAATTTTGTCTTTTTGTTTATACACACCAATAATAAATATCAGCATTTAATCAAAATAATACGACAATGTTTTTAATTATATTTACCATGTTAATGTGGGTAATTTACGCAACTTATTTCTTAATCGTTTACGATTTACATTCATGCGATACTTCTTCCTACGTTTTACCTTTCTAATTTTTGTCATTTTCTTTATCTCAATTTACCACGTGCTTTTAAAAAAATAGTTACTAAAATTTTCGTTTAAACTCGTATACGTGAACTTGGTAATATAGTAATGTATTCTACAAGCTGTATACTTGATAATTGTCCCTAGTTCAATTTCTAGGATCGAAAACTTTTAGCATAAAATATAGTGGTATGACTGATGCTATAACGTAAGCACAAAAGCCTTAAATTATTTCAAATTTATATTCAAGAAAAATTGTAAAAATTTAGTAAACTAAACACCGACAATTCTAAATTATTCTAATTTCTTCCATACATTCATATCGTCACTTTTAAGAGGTAAGAAAATCTTCAATATGGATATATCACGAAAACTACGTCGTATAATGAATGTAGCTTTGATTTGCAAAACGTTTATAAACTGTAAGACATCTATGTGTTGTTATAAAAAATTATCCTAGTCATGAATTTATGATAAAAGTGAAAAATGAATGAGTCACTAATTATTATGATAGGAAAATAACTATTAATGGAATCGGTAACAATCGTGACTTTTCGGCCGATGTTCGGTAGACGCCTGCTGTCTATATAAAGTCCAGGCAGTAAAACTTCAGCTCATTTCTCCATTTGACTTCGGAGGGAAGATAGGTGAATTTTCAAGGAGTAGGTCGAAAATGTAAATGGGTGAACGATAGTTGCTACCTAGTATCATAAACTACACATATATTTTCCAATATAAATAGAAAGAAATTACTTGAGTAACTATTTATTATCGACATGCGGCGAATTCATGAGCACAACGCGACACATCATTTGGCTGATTGTACAGCCAGTATCAATGCAAGAGCTGTCGATCCTAGTCGTCCTGTGTATATAGCTGTGCGTATACACGACTGCGATATAGATCAGGGGCTGCATATGTATTTCGAACGATTACTGTCAGCGTTCATGGGATAGCCTTTAATTGGCTTCTTAAGATAGAAGTGACTCGAGTCAAGTAAGGAGCGATCTAAGGCAAGAGAGCTAGGCGTGAAGTTGTCATCTAGCCGAGGATATCTCGCATAGACTACTCAGTATCTCGAACGATCGCGAACTCGATAGTTCGGACATATTGCAATTTCGACTTTAACTTTTCCTTATTCGTATTTCAAAATGAAAGTGGCACAGTCGTGTATATTGAATCGTATTTCCTTACTTAATAATATTTGTTAGATAAATTATTAATCTCATTGCTCAAATTAAACGATATTAAAACACCCTTTAATCGAACGAGTCTTAAATACTTTAAATTAATTATTATATTAATAACCAATTCAAAATACGAACCAGTTTGAAACACAATGAATATATTTCAAACATAAAAGCCATTTGTTCTACTCATCAATCTAAATGAAAAACAATGCGTAAATTCATGTCAATAACTGAAAGTTAAAAAATGGGTCTCCTCGTGGAAATTTCGACTTTCCAAAAGTAGACATATTAGAAATCGATTCCGTAAAAGTTCCTTAAAAGCAGAGTTCCATAAAATTTGTCCGTGATTTAATACGATCCGATTGTCAAGTGTCGATCACCCATTGTATGCTAATCGTTCTGTTAAAATGGAGGTATCTTGCAATTAGTACACGATAGAAAGTCTTTTCATAAAACACAATGAAGTTCGAACACGTTTTGCCTCTATTGTTATTGCGTGATCTTTTGTTATCATTTTCTATTGAAATACCATGTCACAATGGCCATTAAACAAGCAGGATGTTACGATGTATTATTCAACATTCGGTTTAATTGTTACACACGCAATGAAAAAGAAAAAAAAAGAAAAAAAGAGAAAACGAAAGAAAAAAGTGAAATATATGTCAAATATTCGTAATTTGATATTTTATATATACGATTTGATATTTTTTCATAAATACAATAAATTAGTTTACGTTGGAAAATAAGAATAAATCAAAGACATATCATTTAATTAAAAATACTTTATTTTGATTATCGGATAAAAAAATTAAAATTTGTCAAGCACTCGAATACACAAAAGGTAAATCATTTTAGAACCAAAAAGGAGTTTAGTCAAATGCGAACAATAAAGTCGGTAGTCGGTGTTCATAATATAAATAAAATTAATATCACCTATACCTACTCATACGCACTATTTATACACGTATCTCTATCTCTATCTGTATTCTGCATAATCCGTTTATATCATTTACAATCATTTATAACAGTACAATAAAATTTCAGAGACCTGACAGAGCGGAATTATTGAAACATTTATCTAGAACTTTCAATCCGGATGGTGTTATTAACCCTTTCATTCCCGACGATCCATTTCGTCCATGTCCGATGGATCGATATCTTCAAAACTCAACGCTACGTTCAGCAAGATTCATCATGGTAATTCCTACCACATTCGAACTTCACTGAAGAGGCAATATGTATTCCTCACGGTCGCAAAATCTTTGAAATCTCCATCAAACGATCTTCTAAAGGTTCGTAGGTACAAAAATTCCCTAATACAGCTAAACTCTCAGAAACCAAAAGGGTTAACGTTTGAAATCACAGATTTACCAGGAGTAGTTGGTACCGAGACCACTGAAGACAGTGTGCACAACAGGAGCAGCGGCTTCGTATCCGTAAGACTTGGCGATCAACGGAGCTTGAGCAGAGTAGGCTTTGGTCAAAAGGGGAGCTGGTGCGATGGACGCGGTGTATCCATGAGCTGGAGCGATCAGGGCACTCTTGGCGATGACTGGAGCATGAGTAGCGTATTCGTAGCTCTTGGCCAGAAGAGGTGCAGCTGCATAACTTTTGGCGACCAGAGGAGCAGCAGCGAGCGGAGTGGCATAAGTCTTAGCGAGAAGAGGTGCTGGTGCGGCGATGGCAGCCTTGGCGATCAGTGAACTCGGAGCAGCGTATGTCTTCGCCAAGAGTGGAGCACTATAGCTGTATGGGGCGGCGTAGGACTTGGCCAAGAGAGAATCACTGTAGCTGTATGGTGCGGCGTAGGACTTAGCCAAGAGAGGTTCGCTGTAGCTGTATGGGCTGGCGTAGGACTTAGCCAAGAGAGATTCGCTGTAGGTGTACGGGGCAGCATAGGTCTTGGTCAAGAGAGGATCACTATAACTGTACGGGGAGGCGTAGGACTTGGACAAGAGAGGATCGCTGTAGCTGTACGGAGCGGCGTAGCTCTTGGCTAAGAGAGGAGCGTTGTAGCTGTACGGGGCGGCGTAGGTCTTGGCTAAGATAGGAGCGTTATAGCTGTACGGGGCGGCGTAGGACTTGTCGATGTAGGCTGGGGCAGAGTAGGCGGCTTTCACGGCGGGAGCGTGGTTGATGTCGTAGTTCAAGAGGGCATCGTTGCTGACGCTGTGGCTGCTCACGCGAACGTAGGAGTGAGCCGAGTCGTCGGCCTTGCTGTAAGAGGAGATCACGTTTTGACCCCCGTAGCCTTTCTGCGTAGACTCCTGGCTGAAACCGATGCTGCTGTGATCACCAGACGAAGCCGCGATGTCGTAGGCCGCTGGGCCTGCAGCGTTGGCTACTGCCAGGCAGACTGCGAGTGCTAAGAACTGGAGAAAAATCGTTTTAAGATTAGCTTGCATGCGAAGGAACTAAATGACTATGGTCTTTGCTAGTTGAATCGAAGAAAAGCTATTGATTATGGTAAAGTTCTCTATTATAAAAAAGAAGTCTTCAAGACTTAACAAAAACAATAAATAGTTGTTTTATTGAGTGTACCAAGGACTCGAATGCAACTTTTAACGAAAAAGGTTTAAACTACGATAAAGTTCGAACGACTGAATCAACTAAAATGATCTAATTTTTCAAGAAAGGTTTTCTATCGTGAAAACTTCACGCTTCGTTACATTGTACCAGAACTTCTGCACTATCTGTGAGTCGCTGTAACCTGAAGGGCGTACATGTTCACGTGGAAGCTTACCTTCAATGCCATTTTGCTTTTGCGTGAAGAGGTCGCCGTGTTCTGACAAAATTCGGAACTTGGACCACTATTTATATGCAGGTAAAACTGCAGGGGGATCAATCGAATTTTGGGTGCCACTGTTCCCAATGGGATTGGACATGACCGATCAAGAGAGAGGGAAACTGTGCCACGGCACGCTTTTTTCGTAAGGAATCATTAAGAAAGAAGGATAGAAAGTGGTGGTGGATAGCCAGGTTAAGCGAGACCTGGGCGAGTGTCGGGTGTGGTTTCGACATAATTATAATCATCAGCTTGGTAAACATGCAGAAGCATTGATCAACCTAATCTATGTTTTAACATAATTTCGAGCAAGAAGACTTCTTCCGGTATCAAAGCTTTACATCCCTTTACTTTTTCTTATTAAATCGAATTTAAACAAAATTATATATATTTACATACACATGACAATGTATTATTCTTTACAAGATTATGAGACTTAAGTATACTTATAGTAATTAGTACTTAACATCGTCCCAAGTAAAACATTACTGTTAAAAAAGGGTTACACAGATGAGTTGTTTTATTCGTACGTTGCTTTATTTAAATCCCATTAACCAAATAATTTAAATTATATTGTCAATCATAATCACGTAACAACTTAATAGTATGTACTTGTTTGATTACACATGAGTGATCTTTTTTTTGGGATGTGTTGTATAAATGAACGCTGCTACGTCACACAAGGCGTTTTTTTCCTTATACCCTGGCCTTCCCTTTGGTTATGTAACATGATACATATACCAATGCAGGGTCGTGATATTGTAAAACCTGTCAAGGACGCACTTTCTCCAAATTGTGGCACTGACATATAAAGCCATACAGGCTCCACGTAATTTTTGCCCGTGTATCAGTAATCTTGTTTCGGTGATAGATAAAGTTTCTATTCTGTGTAAGCCTAGATAGGTAGATCTGCGAAGAGAAATTCATAGGCGTGACACTGTCAACCCCGAAGCGGTCCGCCGTGACGCAACCACGAGTTTTGGTCCAAATCGCGCGTACGATTTCAAAGAAGCAGACCTTTACCGTTTCACTTTCTTCAGTTAATTCGATTCCTCGATATCAACAACAGATTAGAAGTTAACAAAATAGGTATTAAAAATTGCAGAGAAAATTGTTAAGATAAAGGAGGAAAAATAAAAATCGTGGGAAAGGATCTTATTATTAGTAGATATTTTTCACCTTTTCAATCTGTTCCTCTTTTACGTTCTTTGTCCGATATTTTCAGGAGAATCTCATTCCCTTTCATTTTGGTGGCTCGCACTTGCAATTGCAGCGGGTCGCCCTTCTTTCATCATCCACTGGCTGATGCGTTGTTTCAACGCTTTATCGTGGCCTACATTGGACAAAGAAAACTCAGAAAAAATATTGTCGATTTTAATCTTCTCAGGATCACAAGGCTTCTCGAACACGGAGTCCGGGACCGTCTGCAGAGTGAACCAAGGTGGTTCTGGTTCTTCCATAGGAACCTTCGTGATTCTGTCTTTCTGTTTTTGCTCTAGTTTGTGAGATTTTGTCGAGTTCACCGATGAAGTTTGAAACTGTTTCTCGTTAGACGATGTTGGCTTTCCTTTTGATTCTCGACGAAAATTTGTACCGTCGATATCTCTTCTTGGGTGCGCAAATGTGTGCGATTTACCTGTTTCTTCGTGTTCTTCGTGAAGTTCAATAGTCTCGGTTGAATCTTTTAGAATAGGATCTGCTTCGATAACTGAACGTTTGGGATCAAAACTTGCTGGACCATAACCTTTATTCGATTTGTATATGGCGTATAGATCCTCTAATATCATAGAAGTACGAGGTGATAATGATTTATTGTCGATTAGACGTCTAGTCATTTGAAGGTATTCTTCTATTGGAGATATATTTCTGCTAGGTTCTATGGTCGTCAGAATTGTGACAAAACATTAGCCGTGTTTACTATGTTGGTTAACTTTGGTTTACCTGCTAGAGTATCCGATATAACGTGTTGATTTTCAGGGTCACTGATAGAAAATTTGTAAATATTTTCATTTATCAATTCATAAGACTCTGAAGGTACTGTAACTTCGTTCCCCCAGTTTGGCTTAGGTGGCCTTTTTATTCCAGAATTATTTTGCATTAAAATTTAGTTAGGAATTGCGGAAATAATAACACTAAAGTTAATCCAATAGTAGCAGGTTGTGTGATATTTATTTATCCGCGTCATTATTACTATTTGTTTGAAATGAAAATTTGTTTGTTTAAAAAAATTGTCATAGCTTTTATTAATAGTCTTTTATCTTTTTTGACAAAATGTGTTAATATAGCGTAAAAATAAATTATAGGAAGATGGATTTAAAATAAAGACAAAACAGAAAATCGACGAGGATGGGATTCGAACCCACGCGTGCAGAGCACATTGGATTAGCAGTCCAACGCCTTAACCACTCGGCCACCTCGTCACATGTAGAATCAACCTTTAAATGTTTGTTATGCGTAGTAATTATTTAATTTATAATAAAAATTCCTTTCACTTTTCAACTTATCTGGTACATTTCTGCTCTTTATTAGATACCAGGATGTACTTTAAGAAATGTCATCGTATCTATTTAGTGATTTGCATACATTTCAATATATTTAATGAATTTACATGTTACGAAATCATAATTAAAAAGATAAAGCGTGTACACTTTCACGTGTAGGTAATATTGTTATCAACTAGCGAAATGTTTTTATCTTTCTTCTTTAAAGTAACATTTAAGGAAGTATAATTTATGGACTGGGGACATTATGGTTTTATATACTTGGTATATCCAAGTAAATAAATTAAGTAAGAAACATGTTATTCTCTTGTTTTCATTTTGGGATAAGTAAATCTTATCGTATACATTTTTTATTTGTTTTGTACACAAGAGCCATGTTGTAAACTATATATTTATAGTTGTTCACAGTTAAATATAGAGATATCTATATCATTGACGATACTATCATTACATGAATTGCAGTTTTTCGTCAAATTTTTTTAAATCATGAATATACGCTATATAATAGTTACGTTTCTTATTAGATAATCTTCCGGCTATTATCTTTGCGCAATTTGCTATTATTCTGCGGTACAAGCACGATGTATACCGATTTCACTAGCTAATGTGCAATAGGTAATTCAATATGGAAAATACGGTGGATTCAACGATATCATATACACCAGTATACAGTAAAGAGATCACGAAAAGTTTGGAAAATAATTTCTCAAGAATTTCGGGTAAGCGATAGGTAAATTGTAGTAAATCATTTTGTTTTGCGATGTTTGTGGATTTGAATAATTATACGAAATGCATTTAAAGGTAATCTGTGTACACTGACTCTAAAATAGAACTATCTTTTCCTATCATCTATTTTTCAGAGGAATGTTACCTGGATCATGCAGGAGCAACATTGTATTCTGATACACAAATAAAGAATGTTGCTTCTGATTTACATAATTCACTTTATGCTAACCCACACTCTATTGGAACTGCAAGTAATGTAACTCAAGATATCATAGAGAATATGAGACATCTGTAAGATATTCAGAGGATATATAATATTGTTAGTTTGTCAAACACTATGATAATCTTTCACTTCTTTAGAATTTTAGATCATTTCCACACATCTGCTGATGAATACAGTATTATTTTCACATCAGGTGCAACTGCATCTTTAAAGATAATTGCCGATACATTTCTTTTTAATAAAAATGAAAAAAATATTTCTAATTCAGCACACTTTGTATACACACAAGATAATCATACTTCAGTTCTTGGTATGAGAGAAATTGTTAATAAAAAAGGGGCAAAAATAACTTGTTTGAGTCATAATAATGCCTTTGAAGTTTTTAATTCTTCAAAATCCACAAATTCCCATCCACGACAAAGCAATTTATTAAAAAATAATTCACTTTTTGTTTATCCTGCACAATGTAATTTTTCTGGATTAAAGTATCCTTTAACATGGATCAATGATGTACATAACAGAGTTTTATCTAATGTAGTCTGTGATGCATCTACAAGGTGGTATGTTTTACTTGATGCTGCTGCCTTTGCATCGACAAATGAGTTAGATCTGTCTGTTTATAAACCAGATTTTGTTTGCCTATCTTTTTATAAAATGTTTGGATATCCTACTGGAATTGGTGCACTATTAGTAAAACATGCTAGTGCAGGTGTACTTCAAAAAATTTATTATGGTGGTGGTACTGTAGATGTTTCTTTAAGCTCTGAATTATTCCATATAAAACGACAAAATCTTCATCAAAGGTACATACTCATTAACCATCTTTGAAAATTAAACTTCTTATTGATTCGAAGTCTTATTACAGATTCGAAGATGGTACTATACCATTTCTCTCTATAATATCATTAAAACATGGTTTTGATATACTATCATATATTACAATGGAGAAGATTTCACAACATGTATTCTTACTTGCAAAATTTTTATATAAATCCTTGTTAATGCTTCATCACAGCAATGGGAAACCAGTTGCAATACTATATTCTGATACTGATTATGATAATCATAATATGCAAGGTGGTATTGTTGCCTTTAATCTCATACGGTCTAATGGTGAATATGTAGGATATATGGAGGTTTTAAATATGGCTGCATTGTTCAAAATACACTTAAGAACTGGTTGCTTTTGCAACCCTGGTGCATGTCAAAGACATTTAGCACTATCAAATAAAGAAGTTCTTCAAAATTATGAGGCTGGATATGTCTGTGGAGGTTCTGCAGACTTAATAAATGATAGACCAACAGGTGCTATTAGAGTTTCATTTGGATACATGTCCACAATTAAGGATGTTCAAACCTTATTATTGATGATTAAAGAATGTTTTGTGGATGGGTCACCAGTGTACAAAGTTCCAGATTGGTGGCTAGATTACAAAACAACTTTATGTAGAAAATATTATCAACATGATGAAAATATAGAAGAAATAACAAGTTATATATCACATAATAGTAATGGAATTACAAATAAGTTACAAAATGTGAAAAAATCAGTAGCTGATTTTATTTATGATAATTTACATAAACTTACAATGGAAACTATTATAACTAAAAAGAACTGTATTTTAGAACAATTATACATATATCCAATAAAATCATGTGGTACCTTTAAAATAACAGGTTCTTGGAATATTAATTCAAAAGGTCTGCAATATGATAGAGAATGGATGATTATTACATCTTCTGGTACTTGCTTAACACAAAAGCAACATGTAAATCTTTGTTTGTTGAAACCAATTATATTTAAAAGTAAAGGAATCATGCAATTACATTACCCAGGTAAAAATTTTACTTTTCATTATGTATTGATCAATTTAATAATAAAGAATTATTTCAGAAATGCCTGCTATTGATATCCCTTTAGATAATAGTTCTGTAAGTACTATAAATGGAACCATATGTCAAAGTAGAGTTTGTGGACAAAAAGTAGAGGGCATTGATTGTGGTATGGAAGTTTCTGAGTGGCTTAGTTTAGCATTAGGTTTTCCAAATTTGAGACTTATAAGACAAAAAAATTATGATAAGGAAAAAGAAGGTAAGTTACATATAATAAAATTATTTAATTATCTAATTGTATTTTCCTTTCGTAGCGAGCATTAAATCAGAACTATCATTCTCTAGTCAAGCACAATATTTGTTAATAAATAAAGCAAGTGCATTATGGCTTAGTGATAAAATATCTGATTCAAAAGTTCAAAAAGATACAATCATAGACAGATTTAGAGGAAATATGATATTAAGTGGTTGTGAAGCTTTTGATGAAACAAAGTGGAAATATATTTCTATTGGTAAAAATAATTTTGAGGTACAGTTATATAGCTTTTCAATGAATAAAAATGAAAATTGAATAATTTTTACATTAAAAAATGTTGTGTTTAGGTAACTGGACCTTGTACTAGATGTCAAATGATTTGTATTGACCAAACCACTGGTTTAAAGACAGTGGAACCATTACGTACACTTACAGAACAATTTCATGGGAAAATGAAATTTGGTATTTATTTAACTAAAAAAACTGAAGATGATGGAATAGTTACTGTTGGTGATACTGTTTACGTTTCATAATGAAATATTATCATTATCACTTAAATATGTATAGATGAAGGAGGTTATGTAAAAATTATGATCGAAATTTTACTTAACAAAAAATTAATATGTTTTACAAATTATTATGATATTTATGCATACTTAATATCAACTTGAATTTCATTTTTATTGATTCTTATACAAAAAAGAAATACCTATTCATTTCTTCGTTTATATAGAAATGGCGCACCATGGTTACCAACATTGCCACGTATTATAATTTATTCATTGGCTTTTTTGTATTGGAAAAAATTAATATTTCTTGTATCATTACATATGCACAATATGTAAAAAACATGTTGGTATAGTGAATTTAAATATAATATATACAAATAAATAATAAAAATATTTAAAAAAAGTTAGAATACTTTTTTATGAATATTTTTACATTATACGATAGATCACACACAAAAAATGAAAATCAATTGCTAAATAAAGATTACTATTGTTTAATGTTTTATTTAGCTTTATTTAGCAAAAAAAAGATTTAAGGTGCATTTTTTCGAATTTTCTTTGTTAAGTTTGGTAGTACTGTAATTATCAGCAGTGTTCCGTGGCGTTGTTCTATGCACACCTGTCATACGTCACTGTGAACCAGGTTCAGTATAGTCCGTAAATTTTCTGCAAGGTGTTACGTTCGACGTGTTTCTTCTGTTTATTTTCGATCACAAAATACTCAAGTTTGCAACAACGAGCAGTGTTATATATTGCGTGTTTCGCCTTAAAACGCGCGAACCTTTTGAAAATTGTATACGTAGGCAACAGGTGTCTAATGTCGCACATGTCTCTTTTCAACTGTAGCAATAATTTCTTATCTTGAAATTAAACAATTAAACGTAGTCGTGTAGAAATTTCTTATTCTTTGAAATTTACGTCATGTTAAAAAATGATTGATAGAATTCTATATTAAAGTGTCCATTTTAATAAAGTTCTACGATAAAAGTGTGATAACCGTGTATTGTTAATCGTTAATACGTAAAAATGGAATACGATTATCTTATTAAATTTTTGGCTCTTGGAAACTCTGGAGTCGGCAAGACAAGTTTTCTATATCAATATACCGATGGCACGTTCGAGTCCCGTTTTATATCTACTGTTGGTATCGACTTTAAGGAAAAACGTGTGGTAAGAAATTATGTTATTAGATGCTTTATTACGTATATTGTCGCATTTAATATAAAATACTGGTTTGCTGTTTTTAGTTTTCATATGAATTTTATTTATTTAAAACATTTTAAGAGTATATAGTTCAAGTATTGCTATATATATGTAAATGACTCTGAGTGACATATGTTATTACTTACAAGCCAGAATCATTAATTATTACAGATATACCAGACGGCAAATGGTAGAACTCAACGTGTACATTTACAGCTGTGGGATACAGCTGGTCAAGAGCGGTAACATTTGCTATAATAATATGCTTTGAAAACTTATATTTGACATTAATGATGCATATCAAAGAAGGCTTTTAGTGTTTCCTATAGAATGTGTAAACTCCTTAGTACAGAGGTTATACTTACTAACACGATATAAAAAAAGAATTTAGTTATAAGATTTAGTAATTAGTATTTTATAATATAGAAATGTTAGATTTCACGTAAGTGCTGCAATGCCATTAATATCCAGGTTCAGAAGTCTAACTACAGCCTTTTACCGGGATTCCATGGGTTTCCTACTAATTTTTGATCTGACCAATGAGCTGTCCTTTCTCGAAGTAAGAAATTGGCTGGAGCAGCTTAGGGTACTCGTTATTTATTAACATTATTACTATAAACATTGTGCAATGAACGATGATTTGAGTTAATCTACCCGTGGAAATTATAGCTCCATTAGGGACATTAATATCTTGGTTGGTTTCATACATGTTGCATGATGTAAATTAAAACTGTCCTGTAGAAATTCTGAGCTCGGAAATAAAGGAATTTATTAAATTTTGCATGGAATTTTAGAGTACAAAATATGCTTTACTTTGCATGCTTCTTAAAAGATGATCGTAGATATTATGATAGTGGTATTACTAGTAGTGATTTTATAATAAATTGTAGATTCTTTCTGTTAACATGTTTTTTATGTATATCATTTATACATAAAAAACTCAAACTGTCGTTCAATTGAAAAACTGTAAAAATTCATTTATTTATTATACAATTAAATGCAAAAATTAATGAATTAATAAATAAATAAATTTGCATCACGTAATTAATATATAATGAAATGGTTAAAGCATTGCGTACGGGTAGCATGGTAATTAATATGTGCAAAATTATGCGAAAAATGATTCGATTACAGAAACGGGAAATATTGATCCTAATTTAAATACCTAATTCAAAATTAGCCAAAACGGTGTGTTTACAAAAGATTTGCTCGTGGTAAAATTAGTAATGGAAGAGTCTGAGGGATTCATATACGTATAACTATGTATACTCTGATTGATCGACTGACTATGCTAAGGAAACCTATTTACCGGCGCCGAAAATTAATTTAACGAATAAAGCACCGTACACACTGTATTAATGCATCTGAAAGTAGAGGAACATTTTAAGAGAAAGATTTTTCAACAGAAATATCCTTAGTTGGTTCGTCAAATTTGTTGAAATATTCGACTGTAAGAAAAGTTGAATTGGTCTTGTCTCAGTTTTGTTTACCAGCACTCTTTGTATTTTGCATTATGGCACGTTTCCGTTTTTCAATGAAATCTCGATTCCTTTGTTTGACCATTGATTCATGTCTGTACACATGTAGACTCACGCATATTGCGAAGATCCAGATATAATTCTCTGTGGAAACAAATCCGATCTCGAAGACAAACGGGTTGTTAGTGAACATAGGGCCCGGGAATTAGCGGAGACGCATGGGTAAATAATATAGTACACGTTATTCATTACGTTCCTTATCAACCATACGATTCATTCAGTCTTGCTCCAGTCATGTTCCTTTTTAGTCTGGGAAACCAAAGAAGATATACATTTCTGTGTTGCCTCTCATAATTTCCAAAGCGAATCTGTTTGTCACTTATATCCTCCACAAATCCTCTTACTTCACGTCGCTCTGTCCCATTGGTTTAATTACAAGATAGGATGAAATTGCGGTTTATGCTATTCAAGTCTTCCAGAGATGAAACTCGTTCACTAGAATTTCATGTATGTAAGAAATATTTAAGAACACGGAAGCCTCAAACAGTGTAAACTGCAAGAATCCAGATCACTGGGAAGATCAGCAATCTCAATGAACTGTACTCTTCAGCTTGGTCTACCTGGAAACGAGTGCAGCCACGGGTCAGAACGTGGCACGTGCCGTGGAGATACTCCTGGACCGGGTGATGCGCAGGATGGAGACCACCATGGACAAGTCGCTGCTGCCGCACCAAAGAGTATTACGATGCCACGAACGCGACACACCGCCGCCGAGTACTTCATGCTACTGCTGACATTGTTCTTACACGTAGCGTAGCTGAATAACTTGCCTCGTGAAGCATGCACTTTATTCGGCTAACAACGTGGCCCAACTAACTTGTATTCGAATCTCCTATCGTTTAAATGTTCCAAGATATGCTACTTACGGCAAGATATGCACGGTAGGATATCAAGGATATAGAAATTTCGGAGCATTATCACAATTCAGAGTTGCATACCTCTGTTCTAAGAGTTTCCGATCGAACGATCGATATTTTACTGTATATCTGCGAGCAAGAAGTACCTTGTATATTACACACTTGTGCATTGTTGTATTCTGAGAAAGGATCCGCGTTGTTTCCCGTATTCACGCGCACACTGTCTTCCATTAACCGCTTCCCTTGGTACAAAGTTATGTCTCGTCGTAAATTCTGAACTGAAATTGTACCTTCGACTTGTTGTACCTCTCGATTCTTCGCAACAACGTGATCTACCTGTTACTGTTGTACGCACAACGTGTTCAATATGTCGTGTCTGATCTCTGTTCAATCGCCAAAAATTGTGATACGGTAGCGTTGCGATTACTTAGGATGAAACGGTCGATTTTCGATATATATGTATTTTTGATGCTGTTATTGTGTCCATACCAAAGTTCGTACGTCTAGTCGTTAAGTACTATGCTGAGAATACAATCAAATCGTCTGATGCACCGTTTGTACTGTCGTTACTCGAATGTTGACGAGTGTCGCTGTTCTTATCAAGTTTTCACGCAGAATGTAATCGTATCTTGCGAAGACTATGTGTTAATCCCCCTAGCTATTAAGGGGGACTATCAGCAAATGTTTATCTATGCACGTCGCGGAGACTATATGTTGTTTCTTCCAATTTTTACACCTGTGAATTACGATTAATCGAGAAATGTTCAAATATATAAAGATATATATATGCCTGTTGAATAGCTACAGGGTGGGATGATAACTTGCTGATTGTTCTACTTTATATCGATCGTTGTCGAAGCAGAGATGCAAAACCGTGCTGGTATGATAGTGTGATGAATCGTGCAACTTTATACGTCTCCATGGGACGACATTTTCGTAATATTTCTCTTAGCATAAAAATTTCACCAGGCTGTTCGAAATGATAGAGATATTCCAAGTTATTGCCCCATCCTGTGTATCGTGTCATACGTCGACGTAATAAAAGGAGACTGCACGAGTTATATCTGTTCCGGCGAAATTCTGCCGCCCATTTTCAGTTTGCTACGATCTCAGGAGCAACGTGAAATGAAAATGCACGATGTATTTGATACAATGGTGAATTAGGATAGTGGATTTTTGATCTGACTTTTTCCCACGTACGAATAGAATCTCGAAATTTCATTAGTATTGTATTTTCACGTTTGTATTCATTGGACTTTGAATGAATTTTCAAATTTGTGCGATTCGTGTGAGTGTCGATGTGTTCAATTTCGACTGGATCCTAGCAAGCTAAGCCGCAATCGAAACACGAAAACTGTAACTTCGCGTGACGATGTTCTTGTCGACGTGCGACTGCGTTTTACGAGATTTTTCGCTCTAAACTGTTCGATTATCGTACCTATCTGTTAATTCATCTGTAACGAATCGTCGGCCGCAACGAGCGTGCCCTATCGTGTATACGTACTTACTCGCATACTTTGTAAGAATTCTATCTCGAAGAAATGGATCTGAACAGAAATCTCCGTATAGGGAACATCTCGCGGAGCAAATAAACGCTCTACAGTTCTGCTTAAACGAGCTTCTATCCGTTTATCCGCGAATCCTCAACTGGTAAGGCCATAAAGCAGCGCGCCTATGCCGGATAAGCCAAAACTGAAAGCAACTGCTTCGCCAAAAAACTCGACAACAGTTTAAAGCCGGGGAACACGAAGTTCCAAGCAGATTTCCGATACAATCAATCAAACGTGATGCCTTGAGAGCCCGATGTGGGACGGTTCCAACTTTATCTTGCCGGTCGAAGGTTGCGAAAGCGCCCAACTTTTCTTCGCTGTTGAGTTGGAGGCGTAAGGGAGAGAAAGAGAGAGAGAGAGAGAGAGAGAGAGAGAGAGAGAGGGGGGGGGAGAGTGATAGAGGGAGGAAAGAGAAAACAAGAAGAGAAGGAAAAAAAGGAATAATTTTACTCCCATCGAGGGATTACCGGCAGGTGTTCCTCGCGTACTTTTGCGTACTCCGTCGGGGCTTGAAATCAAATGCAAACAGATCGAGCGGCAAGACCGGCTAGAAAACATCTCGAGTATCAGCCGGTGAAACTTCGTTTCATCAATAACAGGGGAAAACGCGCGCAACCTGGGGTGGCTCGCTGGGAAACTTTCGCGCGAAAACTTCCTTTATAGAAGTTCGATCGAAGTTTGCGACCGGTTTGGCCAGGTTATTAGCCGGCTATTTATACGCAACGCTGTTATTGTTTACTGATACGCGCGCTTTTTAAGCTCACTGATCGGGCGAAATGCATTTTTACGAGCGGAAGTTGGAGCACCGCTGCGCTTTTACGAGGATCCCAGCGATCATTTTGCGATCGGGCGAGCTTTCGATTCGTCATCGAAAGGAGCTTTTAAATGAGATACTGTACGTTTCTATGCACTTGTTCGAGGCAAACTTATCGAATCAATAAAGGATAAAAGTTGTGAAAACGAACGTGTACGAACGTGCGCCTAGCTTTGTTCCGCTGTATAAATGTCAGCTTCATTTTCCGTTATTTTATTTTATTTTATATTCTATTTCATCGCGCAACCTTTATGTATAGGTACACATTGTTCCATTTCATTCTCTCAAGTTTTTTTTCAGCAACTAGCCGTCGAACCGATGCGAAAAATGCAATAAACGCGCGCAGTGATACAGCGGACAACTGGTGTTTATTTGTAATCCATTTTTTCATCGCGTCCACAGTTTCGGATAATTGAAATCCCAATTAAACCGATGAAATCAAACTCTTATCCGAGAAGCTGTGCCCGTAAACGTTTATGAAACACTGGCTTTAAAACCTGTCTCTCTAAACCGCATTTCAGCCGTTCAATTATTCTTAGTGACGGCATACACGTTCTTCCATCACGACCTACTCCGTTCCACGTTGCAGAGTATCGAATAAGAGAATTATGGCTATGCCTCGCAGTCTCATCGTGTCCAGCACTAGCCGATATTTAAGCCTCGCTTCGCCCCCCTTTGAAAGCTCGCCGACCAATCGAACGATTAGGCGTTCGTAGCTTTGTCTCCGTCGACAACGTGCCGTTGGTATCGGTAACGACCACTTTGAGACTACCAGTTAGGCCCTGTCCCTCTGTGCCGCCTAATTATTACGCGGACCCTCAAGTTCATTTGATTGCAGCTAGACAAAGCGATGGAACCGTTCAAAGCGCGCAGGACTATCAAAAGGACGCTATTTATCGGACCATGGTTGCTCGCAGACCAGACACAGGCGTCCTCTTTCCATCGGTCACGTAGCAAGCTCTTATTCCCATCCTTTTATTCCCCCACGCTGTTCACGGCGCTCCGAAATTTCGCTCAAGGTGAAGCCAAGTTTCCACGACACGGAGTCGTGATGTCAGAAACTTCTGACCGGAAGTTTCGCAGAGTCATCGCGGTGAAGTGACCCGATCCTGTCGGTTCACGGGGTTCGTGGATATCTTCTTCGCGGCTGGCACGGAGTTTCCAACGGCGGATATCGGAGATTTAGAAGGGCTGCTTAATTCCTTCGAATCGTTTATGCACCTGCTTCGTATCTCGACTTTCTTTCCTATCGGTGGGTAGCTGTTCGGGCTTCATCGGATCGTGAATCCACGGACGGTGATGTTAACCGGTATTCCAGTTTCAGCATGGCTGCGCCACAAGTGGAACGAAGTTTCCGCCGTACAGCGTCAGTTGCAAATAAACCAGGAAGCCGATGGCTGCTATCAAAAGCAAGACCAGCCAAGAAAGCAGAAGTTGCAGTCTAGTTTCAGTTTATGTATGAACGCGGCATTACGTCAGAGAAAGTTACAGGCAAAGCGCGAGTCGAAGTCGCGCCAGCAGGTTTTCGATCGCGCAAGTGTCCGAAAATCGAATTAACCGGGAACTTATGGGCAGGTCCTGCCATCGGTCTTGGCCATTGATCGCGCCGCGAACAACGATATATCAGGATGAATTAACGATCGAATCCCGGTAAGCTGCAGCTTCGTCGTGTATTTCATCTTAGCCTCGCGAAATAGAATCCGTCTTCCGGTTACATGGTTCGGGGGCAGGATCCTGCTCACGTGGCAGATCTGCACGTCGCTACATAGGATCTCGTGTCTTCGCTCGACTTGTCAGAGGGGTTGAGGAAAGAGGAACAATTTCAGTTAGATATTGGTCTGGTAGATAAAACGAAATTACCCAGCGACCTCGAGCATTGCCGGACTCTGCGAGTCCTGTTTTCTGGGTCAGTGCTGCTGCTGGCTGATTTATAACTTCCGGCTGATACTTCATCGCGGAAGAAGTCGCACGAGTAGGATAAGAATGGAGGTATAATCGAGTGGACGTTGGATTTGCTCGAATGATTCGTCCAGTGATGATACTAACGAGCATCGAGCTACCTCTTTTGATACCTTTAGATCGATTAAGTAGTTCGGTAGTAGTAGGAAGTTAATGACAAAATTGATTATTAATTCACGCGTTTGTTTGACTCGTTAACGAGACGGGATTAGGTCCTCTTACTTCCTATCGTATTCTGATTTTCTGTTACTCGGAAGATATTTCTGGGGAAGAACATAGCGTCATCTGGAACGGCCATCTTGTATCTCGTCGTAGCGACTGGTGCGCTTGTCTAGCCGGGACACCTCCATTGCTGTTCTATAATTCTGGTAAAGTCGAGTTGAAAGTAGAAAGGTGTTACAATTAAAGCTAGTAAGTGTCTTGTATCCCTCCATCGCTCTCCTCACCTACAACCTCCATTATCATTTTGTATTCCTATTAACGTTTCACAGAGTAACAGGGTGTTATAATAAAAGTTAGGTTATGTTTCCGCTGCCTCATATTTCTCTTTGTCCTATAGTTCCTATGCGACTGTACATTTCTGCCAGCGTGGAAGCAGAAGTAACAGAGGAGTATGATCGAAATTGGATGTTCAATCTATCTATGTTTAGATCCTCTACCAACGTCCTAGGTTCCTGCTACGAAAAGCCATTTTTCGTTAAGAATATTCCGACTGAACACAGGATAAACGGGACGAACTCTCTTAATTGGAGACGGAGTTCCAAATAAATAATTAGTACTGTTTCACGAGTATTTTACCGACATTGCGAGATCAAATTTCTATCGAACGATGTTCCCGCTTCTCTAATTAGAGGCTATTTTTTGAATATCCTCAATGCAGTTAAAGTTGGTGCTTCCGCTGCTTCCAAACCAATCAAATATTCTTTCCACGCAAAAAATAATCATTTCGAACGGCTCAACGATCAGATTTACTTACCACATATTTTTCCATTTCGCAAGTGAAAAGCCTTTGCCACTGATGGAACAACATGGACGTTGCAATCAGCGGCCGGGGGAAATCGTCTTTTTGCTTCCCGTGGAAGAGCTAAATTCTCCGCCAGAAGTGCACCAGATAAACCTTTGACAAATAGTTCGTATCGAGCTGCGCAGGAAATTGCTGCGTGCACGAGAAGCTTGAAAAATTAGACATTATCTGTCGGAAGTCGATGCTCGGCAGCCGATCATCGCTAGTTGCATTCGACGTTTTCGGTCCTGTCAAATCTAGTCTAGCTGAGTTCGGAGAAAACTAACATGGAGAAACGTCGTTTCTAATCTCCCAGAAAGCAGTTGTCCTCAGTCCAGTGTCGCATTTTTCGAAGAGACTATCGTCGATTTAAATTATTCACCTCTTGCGCTGCAACGACACGAGCGTTTTCCTGCCAAAAGTTTCCCAAACAAACTGCACGATTAAATCGTAGTCAAGCTATCGAGACGCTGGGAAAATTGGATAGAAGAAAGGAGGAGAAGAAAGTCCTCGACACGTTGTACTACGTGCAAGCGAGATAGTGTGATAGCTCCAGCTATCGGTAAAAAAATTCGAAAATATTCGCACGTGGTAACCGAAACTCCCACCGGATGCAAAAGACATCTACGTCAGGTTGCAACTTCCTGCTCCCTTTTATCGGACTTTTTATAGTCTTGAGCAGTCGCGATCGGCGATGGCCGGTAGCATTTTGCGAGCGGTTCCGTTCTCTCGCAGAACTTTCCTATCCCCCATTGTCCCGGGGATCGTGGCGCGCGGATTTACCGGAAGAAAGAGAGGGCCGGCCGCATCCGGAAGCAGCCGCGTCGTTTACGATTCCCCGGGCTGCCCTAAAACAAAGCGGAAGTGGAATAAGAAGTAGTCGATGCCGTGGTTCAACTTTCTCGCCGTTGCGAGATCGTGAGACTTTTTCTGGATCGCTTCGCGGCCTCAAAAGTGGCCACCGATAAGGATAACGATCCCGATGGAAACGTGACGTTAATTGGAAGAGGATCAACCCGTTCTCCGCCGCCGTTGCCACCCACCACCACGGACCCTCTCGATTTCCTCGAAGCCGGTAACGATCAGCCTCTGACGAAACGAGGAATCTTTAATTGTTTCCTACGCGGCGGGAATAACTTCCTCCTTCCATTCGCTTTTTTCTCTCGTTACGTCATTGCCTCGGCCGAATGCGGAGATTAAAACTGATTGCGATCTCGGAAGAGGGGTCTTCGGGGCTGCCGGAGTGGCTGCGCCGGAATTGAGAAGCATCGACGAGCGTGAAGTGGCAAAGAGCGGGAATATCTGGGAAACGAAGTGCTCGGGATCAAAGAATATTAGCGGCGAACTCCGCTTCGGGAATTATTCCGAAAGCGGCGGAAATAATTTTGAGTCGCCGCGGAGGGGGCGAAAGGGACGGAGAGACAGAGCGAGAGAGAAATATGGGATGGAACTGATTAACGTAACTCGAGGAGATCCTTTTTCACGGAGAATAAAGTAACGTCGGCTGAAATAATAATTCCCTTGGCCGTTTAGATTGAATTTGCATTAGCGAACAATGTGCCGCGGGCTCGACTGCATTCTCGAAATTTTCCGAT